CCGCTTTTCTCGGTTTAATGTTTTGACGAGTTTTGTCAGTGATGCTTTCTGACTCTGACGGTGTCTGCCAAAAGTCAGACGATCACGGATTCATCGTTATCGCAGGACGATGAGCCGAGAATTTCTTCGCAAAATCCTCCTTCGATTTCCGGTCTCTGTATACAGGGTGAGAGATAGGCACTCGATAATACAGCAGACGGGCATCATTTGCAGCTCAACCATTGGGTCTGCTCGGCGATCAGATTCCGAATAATGGCTCCAGAATGTCTGTAAATGAATCATTCCCAATCGCTTGTGATTCACTCAAATTTTGCAGCCCTGTTTGCCCGAGTCATCACTATGACCAGCCAATTGTGAAGTACACGGCAGTGCTGATACTTGTTGGATGCCCGTCTGCCTAGGACAAGCTAACAAATCAAGGCCAGGCTGACAACATGCAAAAACCAGTCGCAATTGCAGAAAACCGTCTTTATATTATCTCATGCCTCTTGTATGCTGGGCCCTGGCGCATGCTTTTCGTATGTGCTGCGCCTAGCAGAGGCGCCGGATCACCAGGCTCGATATCATGCCTCTAACCTGTCTGCCCATGCATGTATGTGTGCATATGCGTATAGGCATGTCCATTCAGGTGATAGAATAATAGCGAGTGGAGCTAATACTTTGAGCCTAGGAGACAGGCTTATTGTACAAATGGGAGAAGCGGCCTCACGATGAATCGTGTCCTATGCCCCACAGGCGCTGAATCAGCGATACTAATGGGCCGAAAGGGAGAGTTCACGCTTAACTGATTAACCAACAAGCACCAGGTTGAATATACACCTCGGGCCGGCCCGTCTGGACGCTGTAACCCAAGCCTCGAAAGGCCGATCCTTGCCCGGCTAGCCCGTCACCGGAGCACGGGTAAGAGGCGAGAAGGGAAAAAGTGAGCAAGTCCCCTTTTATCGTCTTTCTTGGCGGAAAGATGTGAGGCGAACATGCGGACAGGCGGACAGGCGGGCAGGCATACAGGCAGGCCGTGAGAACTGTGTGGTCGACTGGCGCCCCGCCTGTGCCGCGTGGAGAGACGCGGATACGAGACGATAAATCCAGACAATGCATTCACAGCCTCTTCGCGCCAGAGCCAGCCAGGTTGGTGAATGGGCGCGCGTGCCTAAGGCGTATGACTCAACCCAAACACCGGGGCGGTCTTGGTCTAGGCTTGCTGCAGCCTCTCGCCCGTCTGTCCACCCTAGCTACCCGTCTATGCAGTTGTCACCTTGTATGCACACCATCTATGTATGACGCAGAAATGTGACCAAACAGGCGATCTATCAGCCGACCGACCGAACAACCGGCGGAACTACGAAGGGACGGACTGACAGACAGACCGATCCATCGAACTGACGGACGGGCAGACGGACGAAAACAAACTAACGAGCGATCGACTAACTGACTGACCGACAGATAGATTGACGAAGGCCCAGGAATGACAGTGAAGCAGCCGTAAAACGTCCAGATAGGCCGTCTTTCGATCCATGCCTAGCATACAACGTTCAGGCGTTCACACAAAATGGCGGCCGAAGATTGACGCAGAAACAGCTGGTATGTAGGAATGGATAGACATACTTGTGTGTACACTGAGGAACATATAATCATAGTGCGATAGATGTATAATGCAAACAAGCCAGGAGCCACTCCGCCCAATTTTCAAAAACGATCAATAGACCTGTCGGCTATTCGATCACATCGCTTCTGGACAGGTCTTTATTGTGCGCATAAGCAGAACTTGTGCAACTGAGGCTTGCTTTAGATGTTTAAGCTCAGCATGTGTGCTATGTGCGCCAACTTGGGGGAATATCCATAAATGTGAGTGTGCAATTGTATACCATTGCGCGTGTAGAGAACTAGACTAGGTCAGCATCAGCTGGCAACAGAGCAATTAAGTGGAGTACGGAAAAAAAAGCGGAGCAGATGCAGTATCACAGTCCAGCCGAACAGACGTTCACAGATTCGCGCGCAAGGTAATAATAAATATGTTAGGGGGACTTTCATTTCGTATGAAAGTGCATGAAGAAGAGATTCGTTGGTCGATCTCACCAGATGA